AGGCTACCACTAAGCACACAATAAACATTAGGAAAATCAAGGATGCAATGCTCCTAAAAGTTTGCTGGAAGAATAATGTTTACAAAGGATTAAGAATCAAACTTTTCAACAGCAACAATGGAAACTAGACAATATTGGAGCCATGCCTTGAAAATACCTTCCAATCTGGAATTCCACACCTAGCCAAACTTTTTCTTCAGGTGTGGTGGTAAAATAAGCACATTTTCAGACGTGCGAACCCCGGAAGTTTGCCTCCCACTGCCTCCTCCTTGGTAAGCTACTGGAGAATGTGCTCCACCACTACAATGGAGTGAAGACACAGAGAGCCACCAGATGTAGGAAAGGCCAGCAGAATCCCCAGGTGAGAACATGCACTCTGGGGCAAGGTGAACAGGAAAGAGCATGAGATCTTCATCTGCCATTAGTGGAAGTCCTTAGACAACCCCTAAAATTGGTGAATAAAGACATAACAACACAAGCATGTACTTATGAAACATGAAATAAATGCTAAAGATTTCCAAGTGACTGCTGCCTCTATAGAAAAGCAGACAAGAGCAGCTTTTGCTAACGTCTTTCAGCACTGACTGACTTTCTAAACTATGGGCATGTACATACTTTATTCTAAGAACCAAAGAACAAAGAAGAGATACATACCGTGTTTCCCCAAAAATAAGACCTACCCATAAAATAAGCCCTAACAGGATTTCTAAACATTTGTGCAATAGAAGCCCTACCCCGAAAATAAGACCTAGTGACGGGCGTGGCTACGCAGCATATCTGCACAGCCCATGCATTTCGTTGAGGAAAGGTAATGATGAGCAGCCCTTCTCATCTGCTCCATTGTGACAGCTACTATCCCAGAGGTGATCGGAAACGTGCGGGCAGCCCCACCAACAAGGTCGGCTCCCCATCAGGTTCCAGCCATCCTGTGTGTGCTGCAAACTGAGGCTTTGAGGGGAAAATAACACATCCCCTGAAAATAAGCCCTAGGGTGACTTGAGGAAAAATAAATATAAGACCCAGTCTTATTTTCAGGGAAACAAGTAGTAGCCATCCGGGTATAAAAGTATAGTATTTGCCCAAGAAGGCCTTCCCACTGAAAGATGACATTTTACTGAGACAAAAGCCTTAAATCAGGTGCACTGCCCTGGGCTCTAATCCTCGATTACCTTGGGCATACTTAAACCTCAGTAGCCACCATTTATTAATCCACAAAATGGGGAATGGAGGATGTATTCCACTACCTCAGTAGTTCCTGTTAGTGTGAAAATGTACTATCTTTCGTAGCTCAAGGAAAAGAAAAAACAAATATTCGGTTAGGTAAGTTTCAATTGCCAACTTTGCTGGTTTAATCATTCGGCAATTAGTGAACTCTGACCAGTAACCATTTCCCAGATTTGGTGGCAACGGTGATCCCTTTCCTATCTACCTACCGTCCAGTGGGCCAGAGGTGCTGGACTGCACAAAAGAGGGCCCTTCCCCCTATCACACACCAGCGTTATAAACCCTTAGAATCATGAATCTAAAAACAGAGCTTTTAGTAACCTAAAACTGACCATCGCAGATGTAACACATGTTTAGTAAACAAGGGCTGGAAAGCCAGACCACCTGCATATTAATTCTCCACCACAAGCTCTGGGCCTCACTATGCCTGTGTCCGCATCTGCAAATGGGGATTTAACAGTACCTACCTCATTAAGACTGCTGTGAGGATTAAGCAAGTGAAGTCACACAAAGCAAGCTGGCAGGGCTGGACACAAGTAAGAGCTCAGTAAACACAGGCTGTCATTATCATCAGCTCTGTCAAGCCCTCTATTCAAGGCTGCCTGTGGAACCAGACACATCGGGAGCCATTCACTCATCGCTTATTTATGAAACACCTACTAGGTGCCCAACATGGAACAAGTGCTAGTCCCACAACTGACTAGGCCAAGTTATTTAACCGCTTCCAAGTCTTGTTTTCCTCATCTGCTAATAGGAAAAAATAGTACCTGCTGCACAAGGCAGAGAAAACTAAATAAGATGACTTACCTGAAGGGCTTGCACAGTGCCTGAAACCCAGCAGGTGCTCCAAAAATGATATCATTAATCACTAACATCTCCCCTACAAGCCTGGAAGTGGCTTGGAGTTCTCTGATTTACTTTTTTGTTCCTAGTGCCTAATACGTTCCTTGAATGTTGCAGCTACTCAACAAAATCTCCTTGCATTAATCTCCCCTGCACTTGCCCCGTTTACTTGTATCAACACCCCCAAAAAATCCTAGAAAAAAATAAACAAATAGAAAGACGGTACATTCCCTAGGTTGAAATATATTGTTGAGTCTATGCATCAGGATAGCATACAGCTCCTTACTACACCCAACTTTCTGATCTTTGGAAGTCCCAGCAGTTACTACTTACATGGTTAATTTCAAAGAAAAACTACCAGGTTATCACTTTTTTTTCAAAGCAGTCCCTTATTCCAGCCCTCAGACCACACAGTTTCTGCATTTCCACGGACACGCCGCCTCCTGCTTGCTCTTCCTGCAGACGGACGCCAGTAGGGCTGCCTCGAAAGAGTTTAATTTCTATGCTGCCACAAGCAGGGACACAAACTATCCTCGAGAACGAGTACGGGGGAAGGCCAAGGCCACTAACAAAGAATGTGAACTTTTACATCCAGACCCCTCCAAGCCGTGTGCTCAGAGAGGAACTTCAGTCGGAAAGCTTCCCACCGAGCGTGCACTCCCGCTCTGACAGCACCGGGCTGGCGAGCATTGTCTGGGGAGGAACGCCGCGGCCGGCCAACTTTTCGCTAAAGATGGTGCCATCCTATTCGGAACAAAGTGAAAGGTCAACGGAGCGGAGGGAAAGCGCCGACAGCAGGGCCCGCTCGCCCGGGCCGGCGCTCCAAACTTGGCCGGCCCCGCACTTTCCCTTTTGTCCTCGCACCCTCCCCGCTCCCCGGCCGAGGCCCACCCGGCGAACCCGGCGGACCCGGCGGCGCGGGGCGCGCGGGCGGCGGCGGCGCAGGTACGCGGCCGCCTCGCCTCACCTGCGCCCCGCCGCGCCCCGCCGCCGCCGCGGCCCGTGCCGCGCGACAAAGGCGCGGCCGGCAGCGCGGCCGGACGCCCGGGCGGCCCGCCTCGGCCTGGGGCGGGCGGCGGCGGGGCGCGCGGCCCGCCCGGCCCGCGCCCGCCGCGCCGCGGCGCCCGCTCCTCGCCCCGCGCCACCGCCGCCGCCGCCGCCCGCCGCCCCCGCGCCGCCCCGCCGGCCCCGCTCCTCACCTCGGCATCGGCGGCGGCCATGGCCGGGCCCGCAGCGTGGCCCGCCCTCCCGCGGCCATCGCCCGCCCGCGCTCGCGGCCCAGAGCCGGGCGGGCCGGCCGCCATTCTTCGCGCCTGGCGGCCTGGCCCGGCGCCTGCGCGCCGCAGTCCGGGTCCGGCGGCGCCTGCGCGCTGGGGGCCGGGCTTGCGGCGCCCGAGGCGCCGGGCCTGGGGTGGCCGGAAGCGGAACGGTCGCCCGCGGCGTGGGGGACCTAGCCCGGGAGAAACGGCCCTCGGCAGCCGTAGCAGTGGGTGGGAAGTGGTCTTCCCATTTTCAGTAAATATCTTTTCCTTCTAAATAGGCATTCTGGCAGGCTGGCCGGAGGTAGAGAAAGACCCGAGGCTCCGACCCCTGACCTTTAACCCCGGACACACTTTGATTTCGCCGGCCTTCGTGAAGGCGGAGTCCCTGAGTCGCGTCCTGGTGGGATGTCCCGACTGAGGGTTCCCCGGGGCGGGGCGGGGCGGGGCGTTGCTCCGCTCAACGGGTGTGCCTAGCGGGGGGTGGGGGGGAAGAATGCCCCGGTTAGGGGCATGAAGGATCCCGGTTAGGGAAGGTGCCCCGACGAGGGGGGGTACCCCGGTTGTGGGGTGCCACAGTTAAAGGGGATACCTCGGCTGGAGGGATGCTCTGGCTTAGGGCGGTGTCCTGAATGTGAACGCTGCCCCGACTTGGGGGCAATGTCCTATGGGGAGGGTTGCCCCCGTCGGCGGATGCCCGGGTTAGGAGGACCGCGCCGGTCGGCGTGGGTGCTCTGCTGGATGGTGTGTCTGACTGGAGGCGGTGTTCCAACCGGGATAGTTGCCTGAACTGAGGAAGTTCCCCAGTTGGAGAGATCCTACTGGGCGGGGGAGTCCCGTTAAGAGGTGTGCCCTTCCCAGTTACCCCAAGCTACCTGCCAGTCACATGCCTACTGCGCAGACATGCACACGGCGAGGCCTTTCCAGCAGCCTTCACTGGACAGAGTCACATAAACTGCCTTACCCTGCCTTCTCCCTATGGTCAGACCTCCTTATCCCAGCCCGGAGACTTAAAAATATAAGCACAGAATGAAATTGAGCTTCTCTGGCTGTGTGAATCAGAAGGCTGGATGCAGAAGAACTGAGGCAGCCCTGAATCTTGAAGTTTATCCTTCCAGTAAGAGCTCAGTCTTTCGGTGAGACAGACTCGGAAAAATTATTTCACCAAGGCTGGTATTGATGGTGCACACAGGTACAGAAGAGGAGATGGACAACCCTAAGTACCAAAGAACCCGACTAAACTGCTCTGTCAAAACCTAAGTCAGTCTATCCCAGGCCTTAACCTTGCCAGAAGGCACAGGAGTGGTAGAATAACCCACCTCAACCAGACCCAGCTCTCCACCTCTCCTCCTGCCTTGTCCTGTCCCCAAAACCTTTTATCTTGGGTATCTTTGTGGCTTGTTTCTTTACCGTTCTTAGGTCTTAAATATCACCTCTTCAGGGAAGCCTTCTGTCTCCTTCCTAGTCAAAAAATGATACTGCCCCAACTCCTGTACCTGTCTTCCTTGCTTTATTTTGCTCCATAGTGTTCTGTCACCTGACTCTTACATCCTTATTGGGAAGTCTGTCTTCCCACTTGACTGTAATTCCACTGTTTTTTGTGCTCTAGTCCCTAAATACCTGGCACACGGGAGACAAGTATCTATTGAATGGATAAATGAAGGAATTAAAACGTGAAGAAAAGTCCTTTACCAGGCAAACGTCAACCATAAATGAACGTATCAGAAAGAGGCTGCAGGCACCTGTTTCACTCCCATTTTGCAGTCAGCTGGACCCACCCTACCCGAATGACCACTGACCACTCATCATGTCAGGTGCTACTCTCAGCACACGTGTTAACACTGTAAACTTCACATGTGTCCCGAGAGCCGAGTGCTGCTCTTACCCACGTGTTGTAAGAGAACCAAACCAAGGGAGCTGAGAGCATTCATGGTCTCTCAGCTGCCGAGAGATGGAGATGGGATTCGAACCCAGGCAGGCTTTCCTTTCAACCAGCAGGCGGCTCACAGATCATCCCACTGGTGGCATACTTCCTGCTTTTCTCCAATATTTATGCTCCCCTTGTCCCACAATTAGTAAAATTTCAGCCAGGTACATGGCCGCTGGCTAAAGACCACATTTCCAACAAGGCGGAGAGGAGGGAGGGCAAAAAGTGATATGATCCACTTTCCAGTCTGTGCCTCAAAAAGTTGGAGGTGCAGGCCCGATAGGCTGGGCGATGGTGAAAAGTGGAGCAGCCACCCAGGACCCAGGGGTGAAAGCCACTGCTTGAGAATGACAGCTGTACCACCAGGCCTAGATCTGCCACCTCTGGACTGTTCAAGAAATAGACTTCTATCATGCTACATAGGGGGAAGGGAAACACTCAACATGTCCCCTAATAGTCCCATGAGCTTGTCAGATAGATAAGGTAACTACACACCTACTCACGGTCACCCCTTCACCCCATGGCGGAGCAGGAATTTGACCTGAGTCTGCGGGACGCCCCTTCAGCAACATGCCCTGTGCAACCCGAGGGTTCACTTTGCCCTTGGGGCCTAGAGAGTAGGCCCTCAGATGTCAGATGTGGCAGGAGAGGCTTGGGCAGGGGGAGCCAAGCACAGGCGTGGGGTCAGCAGGGGCCTGAGGGACAGACCGGCAGGCCAAAGGCAAATACTGATGGGTGCAGAAGCGGCCCCTCACAGATGCAGCTCTGATCAGTGCCAAGACCACGCCAGGCTCTGGACTTCGCAGGCACATCCTTTCGCACTCTGGGGCAGCTGAGTGCCAGCCCCAGCCTGGGTAAAGGACCACACACTCCGGCCCCGGCCACCAGAGCAGCTGGTGTGCCCAGGAGGGGAGGGGCGGTGTGAGGCCAGGCCACTGAGGCTGGAGGGTGCCCAGGAGGCTGGCCTCTGCCCAGCTCTACAAAGCCTTTATTTACTGAGTAGTCTCTCCAGGTCCAGCTCCCTGCCGCCCCCGCCCCGCCCAGCCCAGGGAAAGGAGGGCCAACTCCAGGGCGCAGGCAGAGGCTGGGCAGGTCCTGAGTGCTCCAGGGCAGGCTGGGAGTGAAGGCACGAGGCCCTGGGCGCCCCAGTCCCACAGCAGAGGACAGGCCCGCCCAGAGAAGGCAGCATGGGAGTCAGCGCCCAGGGGTCAGCTCCTGAGGGTCAGATCCTGGGGGTCAGCTCCTGAGGGTCAGCTCCTGGGGGATCAGGCCAGGGGTCAGCTCCCAGGCGTCAGGCCAGGGTCAGCACCGCTACAGCTCTGCTCGTAGGATGGTGGGGCCTCTGCAGGGAGAGAACAGGGTCTGCATGGGTTTCATGGCAAACCCTCCCCACCAGGCCCCAGGCCCCTCCACTCACCATCAGGGTAGCCCCACGTGCTGTACTCTGGGGGAAGGACCAAGGTGCTGGTGGTAGGCACTGGTTCCCCGGAGCCCTCTGCAAAGTAGGGGACAGTGGCACCTGTGGAGATGCACAGGGGAGGGGGCAGTGGGTGGGGGGCGGGGCTGCCATCCTGAGGACGGGGCTCAGAGGCGCCAGGCATGGAAACCAGGGCGGCAGGCGGAAGCTGCTGCTGCTGCTGCTGCTGCTGCTGCGAGTGGCTCTTGGTGGAGAGGGAGTCCAGGTCCAAGAAGTGGGGGCCAGCAGCCACAGCCTCAGCCTCCTCCTGGGGCGGTGCAGAAGGCACGGCTGGGGACAGGGCCCCAGGAGGCGGCCCCGGGCCTGGCAGGGGGCTCAGTGGGGCATGGTTCACAGCAATATTGCCAATGAAGAGCGGGAGGGTCACAGTGGCTTCGGGCGCCTTCAGGGAGACCTGGGAAGGACCAGGGTTGGGCATGAGGGGCCAGGGCCAAGGCCACGGAGCCTCAGGCCACCCAGCTCCCAACAGTGCCGAACCTGCAGGAAGTAGTCGATGTGGATGAGGCTGCAGCCCGGCAGGGCTGACTGGGGCAAGGCAGGCACCAGGATCTGCTCCCACCACTGTGCCCGCCTCCAGGCCTTGACACCTGCACCCTCCACCTCCGCGATGGTCCGCACGTCATAGATCCAGCGTTTGGCCTTGTAGGACACTTTCTGGGGAAAGAGCAGCCTATGAGCCTGGGCAGGCCACAGCCCACGCCAGGGGATGGGCCCGGGCAACCTGAATGGAGTTCCGACCTGCAGCAGACTGGCCACCACGGGGCCGGTATCTTTGCCCGACTGGTTCTCGATGTCAGCCCGCAGCCGCAGCACCTGCCCCACCACGTAGCCGCGGAGGTCGGTGCTGGCTGTGAGGACCACGCTGCCTGTCTTCACCAGCTTGTAGGAGAACTTCTTTGTGGCAGAGGCCACATTGGGTTGCTTGGGGGGGGGAGGACCAGGGAGGGACTTAGCAGCTGGGGGCAGGCTGGATCCCTGTGGCATCAGGACATGCCCACTCAGCCCTGCCATGCCCCTGAGCACCAGCACCCTCAGCACCAGAGACAGGCTGCTCTGTCAGACCCCGGCCACCTCACCTCTGCTTGGGACAGGGCACTAGGTGCCTGCCCAGCTCCCTCCCCCCACACACACAAGAATGGGGACACCAAGGAGGCCACTGCTCCATCCTCACCTCGATGTCTGGGATGCTGTTCAGATTCAGGGGGCTCAAGATATAGAACACACGGCTGCACTTGTGATCCTTGGAAAAACGTGGCGTGTCAATCGTGGCCCTCACCTGGTGCACGATCTTCCCAAAAGGACCCTCGAAGGATGTGGGTGCTGTGGCTGGGGAGAGAGCAGGGACTGGCACACAGCTGCCTCCCACCCCGCGGAGGAGCCCACCCTCCCAGGACCAGCTGGTCACCAGCAGGCCTGTCCAGGCCGGGCTCTCACCAGGAAGCAGGAACTGGAAGGGGAAGCTGTGCTCTCCGGTGGGCAGGCTCCCTGCGGAGACAGGGGGGAGGTGGAGGAGACAGGCCTCAGCAAGTGGCCACAGGGCCAGGACAGGAGTAGGCATCACAGCCGACTGGCTCACACCAAACTGGACTGCTGGGTCTCCCTGCCTCTGTCTGCAGCAGCACGGCAGCACGGCCGTGGCCTGGGCAAAGGAGTGAGGACTAGGGCTTGGCTTGAACAGGAGCGCAGTTTGGGGTGGGAGCAGGGGTGCAACAGCTATACCAGGGGTCAGAGGCCACCCAAACTCAGCACCAGGAGAAGGTGGCCCCCTTCAGCCACCCGGCCTCTACGAGGCGATGCCATAGTGCCTGCCAGTGAGAGACTTGTCAGGGCTCCAGCCCTGCGAGAGGTGGCCCAGATCTGGGAAGGGGGTACCGCTCGGGACAGTTGAGGGACTGGCTCCCAGACTCACCCTTGTCGGCCAGCGACAGGGAGCTGCTGAAGTAGCCCTCCTCCACCACCCAGGCAGCATCATTGGCCTTGTTGGACACCCCGCAGGAGCCCGTGCAGGTCACCCGGATGGCTGCAAAACAGGGAGGCAAAGAGTGAGCTCAGCCAGCAGGTGGCCTAGGCTACTCCCTGCCCCCAGCACAGGAACTCAGGCAGGACTAGCAGCCCCACCTGGGAGGGGTCTTGGCAAGGCCAGTGAGCTAGAAGCCTGCCCCCCCCCAGAAGATAACTCCTGCCCATGCCCCACCTTGGGGTGCTCCAAGGGAGCCAGGCTGGTGAGAGGCCTGACCGGGACAGAGTTATATCTGTCCTGCAATCCAGAGTAGGAAGACACCAGCATTTACCCAGATGACCCCTGGGCTCCCCCCAGATTGGTAACCCTGGCTCCCAACCAGACCTTTGAAAACCCAGCTCCCAACAGGAGAAGCTTGGGACACCCCTGCTGGCCCACGGTCACACTGCCCTACAGACAAGGCAGGCAGGTACCCTTCATGCTCCAGGAAGCTAACTGCAGACTTCATGCTGCAGGAATGTGGTCAGACCTGCCTGAGCAGAGGGTACCCAACAGTCTGGCATGCTGGAGGGTGGGGCCCTTGACTTCCTGGACCAGGACTGCCCAGGAGGTCTGACTTTCCGCATCATGAGATGTCTTGGTCCCCAGTGGGAGTGCCCGGACCAGGAACTATTCGCAACAGAGGTTGTTGCTGTTCTGCAGCCAGGATCGAGAATTCCTCAGTCCAACAGACATGTTTCCAGAGCCCACTGTGGCCAGAAGATATTGGCTGGACAACCAGGTCCAGCTGAAGGTGGTCATAGAGGCACCACACCCAGCAAAAACCACACCACAGCAGGAGACTCAAGCAGGGGAGTGTGGTGGGAGACAGAGACAGGTCCCTGCAGCTCCACTCCTCCTATCCCTGCAGGGCTGAGTCAAAGCCAAAGACCACCTCCCTGCCCAATCCTTCCCTCAACTTGACGGGGGTCACGAGAGGGGAGGGCATCTCAGACTCTGCTAATGAAGCTGCCAGACAGAAAGTCCAGAACGCACAGGGTCAGCCATACCTGCCTCACCTGTGGCCCCCTAGAAAGCCCCACCTGTGGCCTAGGCCTTCTTTTGATTACCACAGAGCACCAGGCTTCCTCTCACCCACTCTTGGCCCATCCTCAGCCCCGAGTGGCTGTCTGCATGCTGCCAGGCCCCTTCCACCCAGGGAGGCCTCTGCTTCTGCCTGTACCTCCCTCGGCCCTGCCAGTGACTGCCTTGGCCTCCATTCCAGCCCACTCCACCACCCCAGCCTCAGCCCTGCTAGGGCCAGACCCCACACTGTTCCTACGCTGGGGATCCAGAGCACTGGTGGCACTTCTGCTGATCAGAGGACGAGAACAGCTCAGAGAAGGGTACGCATGACTGACCGATGAGAGGATTCCTGGGGACTTAAGATGCTACACGCCTTTTTTTTTTTGAGACAGAGTCTCTCTCTGTTGCCCTGGCTGGAATGCAGTGGTATCATCATAGCTCACTGCAGCCTCCAATTCCTGGGCTCAAGCAATCCTCTTGTCTCAGCCTCCCAAGTACTAGCTGGGACTGCAGGTGTGCACCATGACATCTGGCTAATTTTTCTATTTTTAGTAGAGACAGGATCTCACTCTTGCTCAGGCTGGGCTCAAACTCCTGAGCTCAAGTGATCCTCCACCTCGGCCTCCCAGAGTGCTAGGATTACAGGCATAAGCCACCATGCCCGGCCAGGATGCTGCACACTTTAACCCTCCCATATAGAAGGGGCACATCCCCCTTGAATCCTGCAGCCCTGTGGATGCTGGGACCCACAGAGGATGCCAGCAGGTGCAGCGGTCCCCAGACTGGCCAAGTGCCACCAAATGACCCCAACCCATGGCACAGACCTACAGGTTTGCCCTGCCCACAGCCGTCCACACTCGCCCACAGTGTGGTGAGATATCACAAAATGTCTATCTTGGCTGTTTAGGAGTGATTTGTTACCTGGGATGACTTTTACACAGCAGTAGATAAGTGGAACAGATGTCCAGTCTCACTAGAAATTAGGGAAAACCCCAATGATTTACCATTTTAACCCATCAGATTGGCAAATATTAAATGTTTTGACATGCGCTGGAGAGGAGGTCAAAAAACAGACACCCCCGTGTCCTAATCAAACTGAAGTCTGACATGGGGCCCTGGAGAAGAATGGGGTGGAGCTACTGGAATTCTACCACATACCAGGAGACTCCACAGTTCTGCTTGGAATCTCACAGTATTTAACCAGGAGCCTCACACACCACTGTTTATAACAGTCAACAGTCAAGACATAGCTAAAACCATCCACCACCCAGCCTGGACCCAGCCCCCAGAATTCAGGCGAATGAGCATGCAGGCACCTAACTCCAGAAAAACACAGCATCCAGCTGACCCCTGGGTAATCCCAAAGGGCCCCAGACTCTGTGACCTTCCCAACACCCAAGCAAAGAGCCCCGTTCTGCACACACACCAAGGCTCCCTTGGAGGACCCTGCCGGAGTGAACAGCCTCCAACCATCTTCCAAAGTGACTCCTGTCCTGCACTGCCCCCTTTCTGCTCAGCAGGGTCAGTGGAGGCACAGGGTTTCCTGCCAGCATGCCTGCCACTTCCTCACCAAAAACACCTGATGCTGCTTCTCTACCTCTCCGCAGCTGTTTCAGGTCAGACTGGGTGAATTCCCCAGGGAGCCAGTTTTCATGGTCAAGGCCAATGACACTGGCCACATTTTGCCTTCTAAGATCGGCGAATCAGGCAGGGTCACAGGATGCAGTTCTGCCCAGGAAGAAGAGAGGAATCTGTGGGGTGTGTTGGGCAGGCTCCTTGCTCCAAGAGAAGGGCACACCGCATTGCCCCCTCCTGCTCTCCCAGCAGGCAGACTCACAGCTGGAGGAGCCTGGGCCTTTGGCAGCAGGAGAGAGCCAGGCAGGGCTCAGCTGGCGGTCACCAAGGCAAAGAGCCTGACTTCCTCCACCTTCTGGGTTTTAATGATGAGCCTCATGGTGGTGGCCCTGCAGCCCCAGCCCTCCTCCCCCATGTAGGGAGGTAAGCATCACCTCCCCCACTTGCTCCTGGAGGTAAGCAGAGTGGCAGAGTGATACACCCTGCAGTGCTATCCAGGGCTGAAATGTGTTTCCTGAGGGTGTTCAGATGCATTAACAAAAGACGAGACAAGGGCTGGTGTCTTGTCCTTGGTAGAAGGTTTGGGGCTGCTTGGGTTGTGTTCCAGAGTGGTCTCTCCAGCTGGGACTCCCAGCTGTCCAGAGCCCTCTCCCTTGCACCACCTACACACCGACCACGAGGACACCCACTCACTCATCTTCATCCCAAAGGTCTCACTCTGGGGCCACCCTGCCAGCTCCCACAAACCGGGAGCAGCCTAGCCTTTGCTACACACCTTTCCGCTAAAACACCTTTCTGCTGTGGCCCAGGAGCCACTCTCCCCACTGCCCTATTTCCAAATCTGTGTCATGAGAAACATAACGGCACCCACCTCCCAGGGTGCTATGAAGACGAGTGAAGCTGGTCCATGGAAAGGTGGAGAGAGCTCCGGTTGGCCCCCAATGAGAGCTCAGTGAGTCACTATCTGCCCTGTCACCCACCCCAGTAAGAAGAGAACACAGGGAAGGCCCGCCTGACACCCAGCCCTGGGCTGGACCGGACCTGGGCCCAGAAACTGCTCCTTCCTCAGCTTCCTTCCACATCAGCTCTCAGGCAGCCAATGTCTTCGAGGCGGAGTGCTGACCATTTTGTGCTCACCACGTAAGCACTCAGACTGGGAGCCCCCAGGGCAGGCCACTGTCTACCTAGGGGACGGAGGGCCTCCCTGCTACATCTACTGGCTCCTAGCAGGAGCTCAACAAGTATCTTTTTGTTGTTGTTGAGACATAGTCTCACTGAGTTGCCCTGGCTAGAGTGCCATGGCGTCAGCCTAGCTCACAGCAACCTCAGACTCCTGGGCTCAAGCAATCTTCCTGCCTCAGCCTCCCGAGTAGCTGGGACTACAGGCATGCGCCACCATGCCTGGCTAATTTTTTCTATATATATATTACTTCTCACTCAGACCTCAGCAGGCCCCAGAAGTGGTGCTGTCCACAGCGCAGAGGCCCAGTGGTCAAAGTCAGAGGTGAGCCTGCTGGCTGTGGTTTGGGCCAAGCAGCACAGGTGGTGCTCACAGGACGACAAGGTGGAGAAGCCCTCAGCGGTTAGGACCACACTAACCTTGCACTCAAAGCCAGGGACCAGACAGAGGCCACAGGTGCTGCTCACCCTGCCCTGAGGGCCCAAGCCAGGAAGTCTCTCGCAGGGCCCTATCCATTGGAGGCAGCCAAGGGCAGATGAAGCCCACACCTCCAGAGTCCGCTATCAGTGGCCGCTGCTGCAACCTGATCTCCGGTCTCAAAGTCCCAGATGCCTGCATCAGCAAAGACGTTGGCCAGCCGGCTCGGGCCAGCTCTCAGTGCCTACTGGGCTGGGGGCGCGGCTGGGAAGAGCCATCCCGCACAGCCTGCAAGGACAAGCCTTAGGCAGAAGGCAAGCAGGTGCCCGTACATCCTGCTGGGAGACCCTCGCACTCCGGCCAAGAGCGTGTGTGTGCGGGAGTTGGAGCCCAGCGAGTTGGAGCCCAGCGCAGGCCAGGCTCCAGGTGAGCGCTCCCCAGGTGCAGAGCGGAGCCGAACCTGCACACCCGGACGGGAAGGTCGGAGGCCTGCGCGTATCGGCGCTCAGTAAGATGGACGGGCTCGAGACCCCCGCCCCGGACTCTGGCCGCCCCCAGGCGAAGAGGACAGGAAGGGGCAGAAGCGGAAGGACTGGGCCTCCCAGACCTCCCTGCCCCGCCCCAGCCGCCGCGAGCTCCACCCTGGCCCTCCCCGCAGACCCGTGCCTCGCGGGTCGGCAGCCGCTTCCGCAAGGGCAGGTGCGGCGCGGCCAGCGGCCCTCCCCGCGGGGACCCCACGCCCACCTCGGAAGGGCAGCGGCGCCCCCAGGCGCACGCGCACGGTCCCGGCCAGCGGCTCCCCGGGGCTGTAGACTACGCGGCCGTGGCTCAGGCGGATCTCGAAGAGCTGCACCCGCCCCATGCCGCGGCCTCGCCGGCCCGCCGCGCTCTGACGCGCGCCGCCCGCGGGCCCAGAGATGCCCTCCTGCCCCCGGCCCGCGGACGCCGCCGGCCCACTTCGCGCCCTCCAGACCCGCCCCCGCCCATGGACTCAGCCCCAGGTCCGCCTCCCCCGTGACCTAGAGACCCTCCCCCGGCCCGCGGACCGCCCTGGCCACCTACTCCCAAACCCGCGGACCCGCCCGGCCGCGGACCCGCCCTGGTCCCTCCTGCCCCCCGGCCCCGGACCCGCCCGGCCACACTTCGCGCCCCTGCAGACCCTCCCCTA